TATATGTATGTACGTATATTTATGCAAACTAGATGAGGAATATTGACCTATCAGATTACAGGCAACTTAGCCTAAAATGTTTCCATAAGGTAATTGTTTACAGAGTATTGAAATAGGAGATAGGTTCATTACTACAGGAAGTTAACCATAACCAATTTGGATCCAACATCTGTATTAGATGTAACTATTGTAGCTGGTTCGGTCTTCTGCAGAAGTTCAAAGGCACTTGGCTAATTCTTTCAGCTGTTGTAAGTAACCGATTTAATGTGAAAACTGGTTTGTTAAAGGACTTAGAATGGAGTTTCTAAACTAATGCAAAGTTCATTAACATAATCATGTTGTATTTGCATATTGTCATCAATGAATATAAAGTGAAAGAGACCTATGAGGATGGAAGAGATTGTAATGTGCTAGCGATATCAAATGTTGCTTGGGTTTTAAAATTCTTTACGTCTTTATCATCCTGTATTTTTCTAATGCAAAAGATATTAATTTGAGTGTGTGTTTAATAATTGGGTTAGTTAATTATCATTTAGAGAGCTCAAATGTTTAGTCCTTTATATTGAGGGGCCACAGTTTTCAGTTCTCGTATTGAGTAGTTAGTAATGTCAGTGCAAAGTGTTCAGTTCTCGTATTCATTCAGATCAGAATGCATAGTTACGAAAATGATGATAATTGGTAATTGTTTACAGGCAAACCATGCACTCGAAGAAGAATTGCGGGAAATTAATCAAAGACTTATAGACACTGTTGTATACATCAGTGAAGATGATGTTGATCCAACTGCAGTTGCTGCTGCTGGTGAGGATGGAGAAGGTACCATTGTAAAGTGCTCTTTCACGGCTGTCGGTCTTAGCCCAAATTTGAAATCACAGTATGCGTCAGCGCAAATGGTGAGATTTTAATCCCTTATGTTACTTGTGCCCTTTCTCTTTTTCCCCATATTCACTTCTTGTCTTTCACAAAATTGCAGTCTCCAATTCAACCTTTGAGATTGCTTATTCCCAACAATTATCCAAATTGCTCTCCTATACTTTTGGACAAGTTTCCAGTTGAAGTCAGGTGAGTGTGTTCTAGTGATTGATGCTCTACTTCACAAAATAATTTTTTTTTCTCCCCTATAATTCATACGGCACACAGTGGTGCACTGCACGACTAAATTATTGAAATTTGAAAATCATTATGATGAAATTCCAGGGCAAATAATGAGCTATGCTATATGAACAGAAGGGTAACACGCACATTGACATAATACATGTATGTCACAAACGTGTTGTTTTTCACATCACCTCACCATGAAAATGTACAATCACTAAACTTCCATTGTTACGCAATGTAAACTTTATGTCAAAGTTTTCTTTCAAATTAGCATTTTCAGACAAATAATGTGCAAATATTTTTTTGTCTTGCATGCTCAAGTCCATGTGTATCAAGTTTAGTGTTTCCTGTTAGTTGCACATGAGAGTTGGAATGAGTATCTTGTATGAAAAGAGTAACATTTTACTTTCTTTCAGTAGAAATTATTTGGTAATGTCGACCAAGTCTATGTTCTATATTAATCAGTGTGGATTTGCTTTTCTGCTTTCACTCGACATTCTGGCCTACGTATATGCTCTCTTCTGCCACCTGTGTTTTTCCTCAGTGGATTCAATTCTTCTTTTCTTTTTTCCCTCATCCTTACATGAGTGCTGATAAATAGTTGCACTATATTTTGAATCAACAGCAAGGAATATGAAGATCTGTCCATAAAGGCGAAATCAAGATTTTGCATTTCCCTTCGGTCCCTGGCCCAACCAATGTCACTTGGGGAGATAGCAAGGACTTGGGATAGTTGTGCCCGTGCAGTTATATCTGAATATGCACAGCAAAGTGGTGGTGGAAGTTTCAGCTCAAAATACGGAAAATGGGAGAGTTGCTTGAGTGCATCATAATTTATGACTTGTGTACGATCGTATCTGGGTATCTTGAAAGGAAAAGAGACGTGTTTATGCACATAGGCTGCTTGTGGTGTGACGATAAAGCTACGTGATAAATCACGCATGTAAGTGATTGCTTAACGAAATGCGGTTTTGCTTATGTAACTAATTGGCAGTTACAAAAAAATAAAAATGTGATGAATCTTGTGTTATTAGTTGTATATTATGTGCCTTCTTATATCGACCCGACTTCCTGTCTCGTGGATCTAATAGTCCTTTCGTGCAAGCAAACGAGTCATGCACCTCAGCATGAAGAATTTGGAGAGAGAAACCACTAGGTTTCTTTGCACTGTCATCAAACTTTTAAAATAAACAAGTATCCCTCCAAATTATCACACTCGATGAAATTCCAAAGCAAAAGAGTGGTGACTTACTTGTGTAGTTATGAATATACATGTTTGCAGTTTTACCTTTGTCAAAATCTAAGATATGAAAAACTGCGGGGTATAATGCAATGTGTGACCTAAGACACAACTTGGCTAAAGTTACAAAGCGTATAACATTGTTCTTGTTCTATTGATTACCAAAGCACATCAGAATGAAATAACTGCAACCTTGAGATACATATAACGACTGATGTTGCTTTAATACTACAGTCGATCAATGTTCGATTTGGGCATCCTCGTGTGAATTTTTATCGGTTACAACCCATCTTTTCGAGCAAATATATATATCTTCACTGCAAAGTCACACGTTTCAAATTAATCATTTGCTTTGTCTATATTTAGACATGGCCAAAATGACCCAGCCCGGGCTGTCGGGCTCGAAAACAATGATCAGAACCCGGCACGGACCTATACTCGTGCCGAGTCAATGCTCAGTTGACCGGGTTCGAGCCGGGTCGTTTTCGGGCAGAGTCCACCATTTTGTTTAAAAAAATAATAGAAAAAATTAAGAAAATAGAAAAAGCGGGCCATCGACCCAACCCGGCCCGGACCTGCCGGGCTGGGTCATGAAAAGGATGGCCCTTAAACGGCCCGTCGGAAATCCGGTCCGGGCCCAGAACCGTGCCGGGTCGGCGCTATCTATATTGTTAGGGGACTTGTTAAATTTGACATGATGTCAATAGAATGCTACCAAGAGCTTGATCCTCTCCCATTGAAACTGTCAAAAATGCTCTTCTGAGCTGCAAAATTGAACAGATTTTCAAGGCTTCAACATGCTTTATACTTGCCACAAAATTTATCTTCTTAATGGCAGTAAAGCGTAAACTCTGAATGGCAAACGATGAACAAATTTCTACTGACTTAATACATTTTGACAGCACGAAATACACAAACGCACGAGACCAGAAATCCCAGCTAAATATTTCCGAATGCGCTGATCCTACGTGGTTGCTTCTGGTACTTCGCAATCCTACTTGGCGAAGAATCATGTTTCGTAATTAGGTTTGGACAAATAATATTAACATATTAATAATTAATAATCTAGGTTCAGACATTCCATAAATATTATTTAACTAACTTAGGTATTTTAATATCACTTGTATTAATATAACCCTTTATTTTTTTGTAATTTTACATAGTGATGCACTAAGTGACTAATATATCACTGACTTTTGATTTGTTTCCTTCAATTAGCTACTGAATTGTAAATGTATTTTAAAAGTTGATAACTTTTGTGTTTCTTATCAGTTTTACATATATAATATATCAAATTTATCATTTTTTGATGATCTTCGATTTGACATCCATATTGTATATATGAAATAAACAAATTATATTTATCTTTATAATAATAAAAAATAATAATATTTATTAAAATTCATTAAAAAATAAAATTATTTCTTAATTGATATATTTATGTATAATGTACTTATATGTTGTAAGTTAAAAAAAGGCTAAATTGCATATAAAAGCACCACCTTTCATGTTTTTGCAATTTAATCACCACCTTTGCAATTTAGCAATTTAATACACCACTTTAGTTATTTTTTGCAATTCGAATCACAGGGCCCAATTTTGGGCCTGTTCTGGTGACGTAGAGGCCCATTCTACTGATATGGCATTTTTGTGATGACGTGGCATTTTTGGGCTGACATGGCGACCCATGTGTCAATTAAAAAAAAAATATGTTGCACGCTCTGAGATTCAATCCTGGGTTGAAGGGTAGCCTTAGCTACCACCACACCAGTCCAACTTAGTTGTTAAATGTGATAACCCTTTATATATATACACATTACATTACGTATGGAGAAATCAAATTAAATCTAAAAAAATAATTTAATTATATTAAATAAAATTATATAAAATTGAATTAAAAATAATATATTAAGATAATTAAAATATATTTTTTCGAATTCATATTTTTTGTTAGAGTGAATCATATTAATAATATTATATTTATTTAATATTATTATTTATTTATTTAAAATAAATTTATAATAAATATAATAACTTATTATTATATAATAAATTATTATTTCATTTAAGTTTTTTAATATTTTATTATTTTATATAAAATAACACATTTTGTTTTATTATTCATTACGATTATTTAACATTTTATTTACTTAAATTATATTTTTAATTTATTATATTTATTTGAGATTTTTATTTATTTTTATTTATTATTTCATAATAAGTTATATTTATTAAAATATAATAAAAATAATATAACATAAGTTGATAAAGTATAAAAAAGGTGAATTCAAATAAAATAAAATAATAAACAAAATAACTGATTATTAAATAATAAATAATGAAAATCTTATTTATTAAATATTATTAATATGGTTTACTCTAACACAAAATATGAATTAATAAAATTCTATATTTTAATTATCTTCATTTATTTTATTTTCATTTAATTTAATTTAATTTATTATAATTATATATTTAATTAATTTATTATAATTAATTTTATATTTTAATATAATTTATTCATACGTAATTCCTATATATATAAATTGTTATTGAATATGTTAACTAACATGGATAGGTGAGTTGGTAGCATAGTTATTTTTCTCCCATGGAGACCAGGGTTCAAACCCCCCTTTCTATAAAATATATATTTTTTTTTTCTTAATTGACATAGACTGCCACGTCAGCCCAAAGATGCCCCGTCATTGACACGTGGAAACGCCACGTCACCACAAAATGCCACGTCACCAGAATAGGCCCGAAATTGGGCCCTGTGATTCGAATTGCAAGAAATAAGTAAAGTTGTGTATTAAATTGCTAAATTACAAAGGTGGTGATTAAATTGCAAAAACATAAAAGGTGGTGCTTTTATATGCAATTTTGCCTTAAAAAAATTATTATAATATATAACACATGTAAGTCGCACAAATAAAAAGTATCATACTAAATATAATAATAAATATATTTTTATAAAAGATATTTAAATTTTAACTACTTTTTCTCATTAATTTTAAATTTTAAACAAAATTAGCAAACACCCTTGGAGTTGTACTAGTTTAAAAATGAATACAAAATTCCAACAGGAGGCACATCTATCATTTCTTTTTCCACAACCGTAGGCCACAGAGGTTTGATGCAGGAATTTGAAACACAAATACTCGAAACGTGTCAATATTTATACAAGCAACTATGAACTACATATACTGTACAACAACCGCAAACCCAACTATAACAAAGGCGCTGTTGCTAACACGTTATATCTATTCAAACCCAACCTACCCGGTCAGCAATCGATCAAAAATTTCAAAATCAAAATCTTCTCCTTTTTCCTCGGTCTTCTCAGCTTAGTAACAGAACACTGTTATTAAACCAGCCATCATCATATTCCATCTCTTAGACCCTGAAGGCACGCCTGTAAAGTCCTCTGCACACTATCAGCAACAACCCTCAGCCTTCCCTGATTGGTGTCCCCACCCGACGACCCATTCACCTCCACAGCCCGACCCACTCGCTGCTTGCACTTGTCCCAGTCCTCAACTCGCGGCCAGCAGGCGCGGGTCCCATGGCTTCCCTCCATCCCGATAAAGGACACAACAGGACTTTCACCGAACGAATACCTTAATCTAACCGACACACAATAAGGCAGCCATGCAGCACCGCCGGCTGCATTTACGTGGGGGATGTGGGCCGGGTCGAGAACCACAGTCAATGCAAAGTCAACCGAGTTGTGGGCCCTATCATAGTGGATGTTGCTCTTGGACACAACGGGCGGGCTCTCGGGCTTCCCTTCCCTGCTGAATCCCCCGTGGTTCTCGAGGCAAAGCTCGATACGGGATTTCTGCGTGGGGGCTGCATCGACTCCTTGACCATGGCCTAATCCTTTCTTCCACGCTATCAGTTTTAGAAATTCTCTTAGTACAGAAATCGGTAGGGTCAAAAGGGTAATAAAGGAAGCAACGCGGGAAGCATCGTAGGGCTCTGATGCGACGCGCCGACTAAAGTAATCGCAAATCTCCCCGATTTCTGATTGAGTTAATTCCTCTTGGGCAGTGCCTGAGTTTTGTTGCTGCTGTTGAGAATGGTGAAACCTTTTTACGCTGAGGACTTGGAGCAGAAGTTGGACTCTGTGGACGCTAACAGCAAACACATAGCCTCTGCAGAAGGATTTCACATTTGTCAAAAGCTGATAACATATTGTGGAATCTAAGGACATAAAGGTAGGACTACACAGATAATAACAGCTGCGGATGAAGGTGTGTCAGTTTTTCTGGTCTCTCCCTCTCTATGAGTTTGCGTATGGACACATAAAGGGCAAGAATGCGGCACATCACTTATTATCAATCCGACAGTGAAGCCAGGTCTTGAAATGACGAGATGAACAGCAAGAAACTCAATATTTTGGGAACTTGATTTGTGAATTAACTTTGCATAAAAAAATGGGAATATCTAAAATCACATTAACTGATCTGAAACTAGAATCCTTAAAATATACAGTAGCTTGCAGTAAAGTCGCAATATTTTCTGCAGATGAGCTTGTGGCAAACTAGACATGTCTGTTGGGAAAGTTAGACAAAAGATAATTATAATAAAAAACGGACAAGATAATTATAATAAGAAATGGAAATAATAATAATAATAAATGTATTCCCTAAAAAAATGAGCATCCCAATACAGAAATACGCTCGTGAGGGTTGTGATGATGAGACTGTATTACGCTCGTGAGGGTTGTGATGATGAGAAGAGGATAAAACCAATTCAGAGTTGTGCGAAAAATTCGCTCCAATGCTGCGCTACATTTACGCACTACTCTGAAGATATGAACAGTATCGTGCTACATGTAGTGCGACACTGTTCATCGAGCTACAATTTTTTTTCAACTTTTTTTTTCTTTTTAATTGATTTTATTTTATATATTATTTTGACAAAGTATACATTAATTAAATTTTATTATTTTGTTAAAAAGGTTTAAATTTTGATTGATTTTGATGTTGTCTTTATATTTTTTTTGTACTAATATCTTTCATGTAGAGTAGAATGTAGTGGAGATGAAAGTTAAATTTGGCAGTCTCTGCTCATGCTCCAGAGTAGAGTAGAGTAGAGTAGTAGGGCAGAGGAGAAGAGAGGAGAGGAGAGGAGAGGAGAGGAGAGGATTGGAGATGGTCTTAGAATTATTGCATACAGGTCATCCACATAATATATTCTAAGCTCTAGAAGATATGTCCTTTACAACCATGAATCTTTTTTACATGGTTCTCGTATTGGTAGTAACAAAAAGGTAATACGGATGTGGAAATGCGCAAAAGAATGTTAACTCATAGTCTTACCCAACAAAGAAGCGCAAGGCTGGTTGCTCTTGATCCAAATTCAATAATGCACCTTCGTTGTCCTTCAAAATTGATCCGAGGATCTCTTTCAAAAGATCAGGTAATTGTGCAAACAGCCAGAGCACTCCCAGATACTTCAGAATACCTCTAAGGACCTTCTTAAGAGCCACGAGTGGAACCCATCCACCACCATAGCCACCATCATCCCCAAGTCCAATTATAGCAGTATTAAGCTCTCCCCTAACATGGGCTGGGACCCCGGAACCCGGTGGTCTACGTAATGGGCTGACTACAGGCAAATTGGAGGAGCCCGGAAGAGCATTTCCCATGCGATTCAAAGGAGCTATTGCATTTCCTGGACGAGATATTGCACCAGTACTTGGGTTTGCTCTGTTTCCAGCAGCACCTGGTAGCTGTGGAGGAGTCGAACTGAGATGGGGGTTATTCGAGCTGGAGAAAGCTGGGAAATTAGAATCTATGCCATTCAGTTCTTGGGCAACATGCTCCATGATAAAAGGACGGAATTGTGGACATGGAAGTGAACCTCCAACCGGAGGGCCGACTTTTGGTGGCGTAGCTGGTTGCAACCAGACCTGATCCCCAGCAAAACACCGCATGTCCACTGCAAAGTTTTTGCGGTATATGATCCGAATCCAGTATGGGCCTCTAAGCACTACAGAAACATCAATAGGTAACAATGAACTGGGAACAATGCCCGGTCCCCCTCTACCAGCAGCTGCGGCAGCTGCTGCAGCTGCTGCTAACACGGCTGCTGTGTTGTGACTTCCAATGGGGCCTGATGGTGTCGGTGCGGTAGGATTTCCTCCAGGACCAGATGAAGCTTGAATATGATTTGTGTTGGAATTGCTTGTTAGGCTCTGTGTGGGCAAATTTCCATTCTGCTTTAGAGTAGAAGAAACAGCGGCTGGTATGCCGGGAACTCCAGAAACTGGAGCAGCTCGTGCAGGCCGGGTAGCAGCAGCAAGAGCGTGCAATGGCCCAGCAGTGAGTCGGATGCAATCCAAAAGCGATGCTACTTCACCTCCATTGATGAATTCTTCGAGAAACTGTTGACAAGGCAAAATGTTAATAGGTGTATATACTTTGTTTATGGAAACTTGGAGGTTAAAAGAATGTTATCTGCGAAAAATATTCGGACACAGAGCAAAAACCAACCACCGAAATGAACAAAGATTTTCAAGTGGAATAGATTTGCTTGGACCATGTGTTACATGAAATTCATTCCCGCTATACAGAGCACGATTCTACTCTCTCCACCACATGTTTAACATGTATATCTAATGTATCAGACAAGTCATTAATCATACTTCCCGTTTTATTTCATACAGTAATCCTGGGAGATCTAGAATATTACCATCTTTAAATGCATAAGCCACAGGTGAACAGAAAACTATTAGAAGAGTACTCGAACATTTGAAATTTTTAAGATCGAGACTCTTATTTCTGATGAAACACGAACCCGCTTCCCATTTAATGCTCTGGAGTCTAACATAATCATCAAAATGGGGATTCTATTAATATGAAGATAAATAAAACAGAGCATTACGTGTAATGCAAATATCTCCACAATTAGCTCTGCTCCAAAACAGTATGAGCCACACCTTTTATAGCTTAAATTATTTTGCAGTCAATTTTTCCATGTTTAAGCTTTTGTTATTAGAAATATAACAACAAAAGGAAGACTGCTGCTTTTATAATACAGTTTCAGTTTCCTCTGTTTTAGTAAAAATTTTCTCATTGAAACAAAAAAATGAAAGCAAAATTCATCTCATTTACTGTCCATCGCATTCTTTTATTTTAAATGATTAAATCCATTAACACAAATATAAAATAAAAATTCAACAAGACAATTTTTTGGTTTTCGGAAAGAACATAACCAATCGCAGCCCAAAATTAAAAGACACTTCATTTACGAGGAGTGGGGTGGTGAGGCAGGAAGCTGTTGAGATGCCAAAAGAAGATAAAATAAAACACACAACAGAAAGTAATAATGTGTACAAAAAGTTATAACTGACCTTAGTATGGGGCCAAAGTTGGTCAGGAGTAACATGCATTCTGCAGCCCTCTTTTCCAGACTCCCACTCAACAACAAAGCGAGCAAGAACCCCTGAACCAAAACTGAACCACAAACTCATCAAACCAACAGCTTCAATTCTAAAAGCTTTTCTCATCTGCCCAGAGAACTTTTCAGAGCCCTCCGCAACAGTTTTCAATCCAGCAGGAGATTTGCTCTCTAAGCAGGCATCACTCTCATCCGGCTTGTCATCAGTCCTTGGCCCAAGTAGTTTTCGCATTTTCAAGGCAAAAGTTCTGGCATTGGAAAGCCTTTGTATATCCGCAACCAACGTCTTAATACTGTCGGCCTCCACAGAATAGTAACTCAATACAACACCTTCAGAATCATAATGGATGTGAGAATCCACATCAGCTGTATTAGCTATTCGTACACCAGAACCCCAAGGTGTAGTATTGCACCCTTTTTGAAGTTCCCACAAGTCTTTATAGTGTGGGTCAATAATTTTCACATCCCAATATAAGCTTCCAGGTCTTCCCAGTCTCAAACATACATGTTGCCATGTGTCACCTCTTGATAAAGGCAAGCGGAACCACAAGTTTGAGGATGCACTTCTGAGACCCACTTCTTCAACAAAGGGGATGTCAAGTGCCTCCATCTGACTAATCAAGCGGGCATGTTTTATACATAGTGAACAATGTCTGACTATGTGAAGAAGAGTAGAAACATAAATACTTGGGGGTGCATTTCCCTTGTTTGCTTCAGCTATAAGATCGGCAAAATTGTACACTTCAGTTTTACTAGGATGGTCGCAAGAAACGAGAGACTGTGTAGGAGGACGCTGAGAATTTGGCACTCTCTGGATTTTCCTTCTCTTATTCGATGCATCATTAACTTCTAAACAATGAAGCGAAGGAAGTGATTTCATCATATCTGACACACTACGTTTTCGGGACGATCCGTCATTTTGAGGAACACTTTCTTGATTCGAGTTCTCAGGAACAGCAGAATCAAGTGTCAAAGCTAGCAAATAGGAGGCATGCAAATCAAAAACAAGATCAAGGGTAAATGAGCCTGTTAATGCAATTTAAAAACAAAGCAAGAAAAAATAACAAAGATTGGCTTCTTACATATGGGAGAAGCAACCCATTCGTTAAATTCATTACCATTTACACTCACTGTTGAAACCAGACGACCTGTGTGACGGGGTGGAGAGAAGAACCTAGCAGAGGAAACCCCAGATACAATTAGCTTATCCTTGTCCAATATACCACGAGAACCAAAGGCACTAGAATGAGGAGATTTGAGAGCTGACAAGTCCTGATCTGACTTTGAAGCTGTCAATTTTGGCACAGCTTGATTTTTCACCGAAGTCGTGACAAGTGAGCTGGTGGAACCAGATTTTGAGGATCTCTTGAAACTGCCCACAGCATTTTGTGATGTAGGTGCTCCTTCCCAGTCTGGGGATGATATTGAACGTTTGGTGTCATTATAATTCATAGTATCCAAGCCAAATTGAGACGCAGAGGGCAGGCCGGATATAGAAGAGATGCTCTGTACATTTGACCCTTTCTCAAGCTCAAATGCCTCATCTACGATAGATGAGAAACTTTTGGGTATATGAGAAGAAAGCATTGAACATTCGAAGCTGAACTTAGACGGAGGACCATGACCACAAATCTCATTAGCATTACCATCATTGAAACTAGATGACATCGTGCAGTCAAGAAGACTCATATTTATTTCATCTTGATACATGTGCATATGACTAATGTCCAAATCTTTAACTCGACTCGCTGTGCTCACGTCACCAAAAGGTTCAGCTTTTCCCGAGGAATCTACCTGGGCTTCTACTAACTTTGGACAAGGTCTGAATTCCTTGTCGAGCTGCATCAACAAGAAATAAGAGCTCCCACACTCTGGGAATCCCATGATCAATGAATTTGAATCATCTAAAATGTTCTTAGGCAGTTTCGCCGGCATAAATCCATGTTCGAATACCTACAAGAAAATGTTAACATGACTATTTAGTTGCAGTAGGTAACTAATACTTTGTCCACTGACCCACTGTTTGTCAAAAGTTAGAAGTAGCTTTTGCAGAAGTTTAGTCCAAATAGCAGCATCACAATAGTAGATGCCGTGCTGTTCATGAACTTACACCTTAGGGATCTAAAACAGGAATAGTGCATTTAGGCAACTATCTAGATCGTGTGTTTTATCTTGACAAATCCATGGAGACTAAACAATAGATAAAATCTTCAATTAACAGGCACCTCAAAATACAGAAAAACATAACTTACATAAAATTTACAGCCAAGGAACATAGTAATTGAAGCTGCAACATAAATCCCTAACTTCGGAACAAAAAGCTTATACATACCTCAAGACCCAAGAACCGTCCAATGCATGCGAATAAATGCAATATACTATTTCTCCTCAAGTTAACAAATGCCTTGGCTGCAGTTATGCTTCCCTGGTTCAGTGCTTCTTCACACTCAAGCAAAGCCTTTGATGATAAAATATTTTTGGAAGAGCGAAGAAGAAAACGACCATTCCTGCAAAGTAAAAAGGACATAGCCTTCAGTTCTAGTGACCACTAAAAACTCCCCTGAAACTGCTACAGTCAACACCAAGGTAAAAAAACATAGCCTTCAGTTCTAGTGACCACTAAAAGCTCCCCTGAAACTGCTACAGTCAACACCAATAGCAATATCGATCAATTCCTTCCAGCTATTTGCTTTAAGTATACTGTGAGATTTGCATCAACAAAACCTTCAATTTTTTATTTTTTATTTTTTAAAATAACATCTAATTATTCTGTAGTAAATTTGAATGTGTGCAACTATTACTTCTCTCACGGACACGTGATATACTAAATGGAAATAGTAAAAATTAATATGTTCCATAACCTCTGATTACTCTGCCATCATATGCTAGAAACCAAACACACATTCATACATATCTTTAAGCTGCCGTACAAGCTATAAACATATATATATATATATGAATTTTCAACAATTTACATGACAGGTATATCCATATAACTTCTGGTTCTACTAAAAACCGATTGGTTGGTAACAATTTGATTCTTCTGCCAATGCCTCCAGGCGTTAGAAAAATGATACAAACAAGTAGGCATAAGCCATAAGCGGCAAATGCTTAACCAGTAAAAGGCATAATTGCTTCCTAATAGTTAGTCATAGTGCAGGAAAATGAAAAAATAGGAAAACCCGTACTTGTTAAACTCCAATAAGACAAGAAATAGACAAACACATGCATACACGTGAAGGCACAGTAGTCTCCGAAATCCAAATAATCTCCTACTCCTATTAGGTGATTAACATCATGCAGAGAGTTCCAAATGGCAAATGGCACATCTAAACTTTATCAAAAACAAATAGTACAACCACAAAACAGTTTGACAAAACCTCCCATCATCTTTTCAAGAATTCTATTAATTGCAGAATTTTCCAGATCACAATAACATCCTGCGTGAAATTTACTGAAGCAGTTTTTGATCTGGAAAGGTTTCTTTATTTTTCCTCTATATTCCATTTCCATTCGACATTGAAGCAACCACCACTGCCCCTTTTTTCCACAAGGAAAGATCATGACTACAAAGAAACTTCACCCATGTCATATATTTCTTGAACAATGTCAGCATCTCCCTCCAGCAACTATCCCTACTCGTCCTAAAGATTTTATACAATGCTCATCCCACTCGCCCTACAGAGTTAATATAATACATTGCCCACTTCCATCTAGAGCAGAAGTCATATAACTACCTCCAGTATGCAATCCTCTGTCCATGATTAGGGGATCTGAGGCTTCAAACTGCCCAAAAACCTAATACTATAGCAGTCTTATCAAATGGCACCCATGGCGGTATGGCGTGGCAGGTTTCTGCCAAGCTGTACATGCTAGATTTGTGAAGGATGTCCAGTTATGGTGGTGCCGTAGGCCGCCATGGCAGCCACTATGGCGGGATTTTGACCTGCCGCCATTTACCGCCATCCGCCATTAATAACACTGTAATATAGCTACGAACTAGAAATTACCACATATTATGTTCATAAGAGAATTGCCCATGTTTACACATAAAAATAATCCATCATGTAACAGGCACTTGTTAAAGACTGGATACATAATAAACTACAGATGTACTTTCTAAATTACCAAAAGAAAAATAGAGCTTAAAAAAACCTTATGCCGATTCCAAGAGTGAAAAATGAAGAACCATAGGCACGCACGAGCAGGATTTCCTGGCCGCCATGCTTTTGTAAATCAGCTGCATTATCAATCTGTTTTTTCTTATAGGAAAAAAAGGAAAGGGAAAAAAAAAAGTAATGTCTCAGACGTCAATATATATTATATGACATGACATGAATTTTACACAGAAGGACAAAAAAACATAATATCAGTGTAAAAAGAAAATAGCTAACAGGAAATGTCTGCATAATTTTGATACCTTTTCGGAAGCATCCAAAAAAAATTGAAGTTGGACATCACCAGAAGTCCTATTGATCTGTCCATTCTTCTCGACTTCCTTGTAAATCTCAAGCAGGCGCGTGTATCGATTACAGCCAATGGCTCTGAGCAGTAACATCTCAACATCAATGCAACTTGGGTCCAAGTTAAACTCTGCTTCCTTGCCAGATTGCGGATCAATTACAAATGTGCTATGCAAACACTTAATCTGCAAATCCAGACCTGGCTCAAGCTTTAAGAATGGAGATGCTCCAACGTCAGTCGTTCCTGTGCTTTTTTCAAGATCTATCCAGTACATTACTTTCACTCCAGGAGTCCTTAGGCCAGTTGAATCAATTTCTACATCTTGAGTGCCATGGGTGGATGCAATGCTTGTTCCATGGCCAATAGTACCATCAGATATAAGTTCAAAACGAATTGCGTCTCTCCATCTACCCTGTCGGAGTGCTTGCACTTGTCTTATAACAGTATCCATAACAAGAGCAACACAGAGCTCATGAAGAATGGAATACATCGTCATGAATGGGTTATCTGAGGCAGCCATTCTACGTTCCAAATCATCTCCAAGAGCATGTCTTCGTGATTCTTCCAGCTTCACGGGCCCACTTCTCTCACCAACAAGCAACTCCAAATGTAAAATTCTCCACATCGACAAGTGACCTCGATAACCAAGTGTGACAAGAACTTTGAATTCCCCATCAACTCGGAGCAAAACAACACCATCAGAAACTTTTATTTCAGTAATTTCTTTTGGAAGTGCAATCTCAAGCAACTTTGATCTAACAAGTATCTCGAGTTTCTTCAATGCTGGACCTTGCTGATCCTCATTCAGCGTGCTCTGTGCACCAACATCTTCTATGCATTTAGGTAAACGCTGATAAGTTCCACCAAGAAGTACCTCAATGGCAGACGGGACATCATAAATAGGAGCACGAGCTTGTTGTAGCCCTTCGTGCATAAAAAACATGGAATCTGCAGCTTGAGTGAAGCAAGTGTCATGACTTGATAAAGTTGATGCAAGTTGTTGACAGTATTGTATCAAAGGAACCTGCACTTAAAGTAGGAAACATTATATATTAAAGGCACAAAATCTGTTCAACAAAGAAGAAATAGCACACATGACCCCAAAACCTTATTACCAGTAAGGATTCTTCTTATATGCAAAATGAAGAAATTTTTATATAACATCATACAAAAAGACTGCTATGATTTTTTTTCATGAAGCTGCAGTTTGAATGGAATAGTTAAAAAAAAAAAAAAAAAATGAGATCAAGCAACAAATAATTTTTTCTTAGTTACAACAAGAAAGTTGACGAACTCTTCTTTCAATATATGTTCAAGACTTCAAGTCGAGCAAGGTTATTTCAAAAAACTCCAATGTTCAAATGAAATTCTACAGAAAGTATAAAGTAAGGTCAAAAGTGCCTTAACATACATTTGAAAAGTCAAAAGGCGACAAGGATATAAAGTTATATGCAGAGAAAACAAAATGTTGTACCACCGCCAACAATCGTAGAAACTCTTTGCCAAAAGTACAGTGGCACAATAGTCAAGTTGATGCATTTGTCTCACACTTTTAAGAGATGGGACATAATGTGTGTGTGTTTGTGTGTGTATAGAGAGAGAGAGAGCGAGAGACAGACAGAGAGAGAGAGAGAGATAGAGAGAGACAGAGAGAGAGAGAGAGATGTGAAATCATAAATTATCCTTCCATTCCCATACTATCAAGGTGCGATTGGATTTGCAATCACTGAAGGAAAAAAAAAAACTCTAGAGTGCGTTTGGGAAAAACGGTGATTAAGGAATGATTTGGAAAGTTGATTGATGGTCTTGATTAAAATTGATGTAGTATAAAACTAATAGAATGAGGTGTGGTGATAGAAAGGCATGAGTGGATGAACAACAAATTGTATGGAGAAATGAGTAGTAAAGATTTAGTTTCACTTGAGGAGGGGATGAGACAAACGAGTGGTGTAGTTCTTTAGGAAAATAAAATAAAATAAATAAATAAATCTAAGCGCTACCTCAACTCGTTCTTTCTCATTTCAATCAGTTTTTTACGGTGAATATCATCAGGTAGCCTAGTTTATTTACACATCCCAGAAGGCCCAATCCCATGAACATGATGGATTTACATATCGTCCACTTATTACACCTTTCCATTTTCAACTGCCCAATTACCTACAATTATCAAATATAATCCAAATTTAAACATAATCTTCCCCGTCTGTCATGTAAAACAACAAAACATCTCTGCCTCTCTTCCTCTCTGCCTCATGTGTCTAAATGAACAGTTCCAAAATTGCACTTCAATTGATAAGATCACATCATTATCAACTAATTAATGTACAGTTGCTATCCGACTATGTCTGTTATCAGCTATTCCCAAACATTAACGAATTTCCTAAAACGCTCCACAAATCAAGCACACAACCCCTAATTTCAATCTCCCCATTCTAAAGTGAACAGATCAACTCCAAGAATACAGAAATTTCACAACTTGACCCGCACCAACAAAAGAATAAGACGTGAAAATCGCACCTGCTGGCACCACTTGGCCAGGACATTGAGGCGAAGCATCCGCTGCTGGGTCTTGACAATGTACTTCAAAATCATAATCTTCTTCTCCGAGTCCGATAACGACTCTGAGGATTTCGATTTCTCCACCAATTCCTTGAGCGAGACATAGGATTCCTCGGTAGCGCGCCCAACCAGCGCCGCGAAATCCATCATCTCTTGCCCGGCTTCCCCCATGATTCTCTTTCACCTCCAACTGAATCACTAAATCAGTGCTTGATTTCAAGAATCCGTTCCGGCTGAAGGATAAACCATTGGAGCAGGAGAAGTATGTTAGGGTTTCAGGTTAGGAAGGATTGTTCAGGTTTGTTTTTCTGGCCTGTTTTTATATGATTATATGATTTGACTTATTTTTCTTTTGACTGCTCTAGCATATTAAGACAACGTTTGCCATTTATTTTATTTTTCCATCACTATTTTCTTTTTTCTATTTCGAGTGAGTAGCCATGAATTGTATTTATTTTTCTTTTCTTTTTTTTTTTTACAAATAAATAAGCCAAAAGACCTAAGCTAGCACGCGTTGAGGGTACGACACCCCGACTTTGTCATGATCAAGCTAAGCACCGAGCCCCTCAGGTGGGGAATCCAAGCGATGTAAGCCCAGTGGGTAAGATTCCGTCATACTCGCCATATGATCTGCCGCAAAATTGCCTTCTTTATGTATGTGTTGGACGCTAACACACCATTCCCTATGAAGCAAATCTCAAATAGCTTGAACCATCGAAGTATGGGGCCCCAACTCTTCCTTAGGCTCGCACACCATGTTTTTCACGCAGAGACTATCAACCTCAGCCACAACATTCCAAAATCCCCTCTCCCATGCCAACAAGAGTCCTTGAAAAAGGCCCCACAACTCAGCCCTCGTGATAGTGCAGCAACATATGTTAAAGAGAAATCCTGCAACCCACCGCCCCGCCTCATCACAGATTAAGCCCCCCGCACAACTCACACCAGTCACATTATTAACGGCTCCATCAGTATTTATTTTAACACAGCCCAAGCCAGGAGGAACCCAACGAATCATTTTTGTTACACGAACTGCCGCACCCACCCGAACATGGTCCGCTACCGCACGCTCGTAGCTCTCTGTCACCCTCACCACTTCCGACCTCCTGGCTTCGACCCCAAGGCTTTTATTTTTAAAAATTCTGTCATTCTGCCATGACCACGAGCGTCATGCTGCCACAGCAAACATGCTGCTCCACCTCTCGTAATATCCCACCTTCGACGGCGCAAGGTTCGTAAGTAGCCATAAGCGTACTGGCAGCCAGAAAAAGCTCTGGTCCAGTCCTGGCGGTAGAAGACGACGCCAAAGTTCTCGGGTAGATGGACAGTCTCGAAGGACGTGGAGAACCGGTTCCAGCTCACCGCACAACTCGCAAGCCGCATATGCCGTTAAGTGTCATGTGAACGTTCAGCATTAGTGAGAAGGCGTTCCTTGGCGGCCAGCCAAAGAAAGGTACGCGCTCGCTGCAGGGCCGGTGCGCGCCAAACGGAATTTCAAAGGTGTCGTTTATTGTCACGTGTGGTCGAGGCTAGGGAATTATAAGCTGATTTTGTCGAAAACCGGCCATTATCATATAAGCCCCATATAAGACGATCATCTCAGCAGCCGCACGTGGTGGAAGCGTAACCGCGATACGGAGGACCACGGACGAGGGGAGAACTCCGTGGAAACAGCTCCAAGCCCACCCACTGGTAGAGTCCACAAGGTGTGCGACTATAGCATGAATATCAACCGAATGTAACTGAGGGTTAACAAACCTCACCAGCGGCCAGCCAAGAGTCGAGCCAAAAACGCGCCTTCTCGCCATTCCCCAAAATCCCCCGTATACCTTTAAGCACATGCAGTCATATTTTGCGAACACCACGCATTAGATTCAAAACCTGCCGCCTGTGGCCCAGTCAAGAGTGGTCGATAAATCCAAACCATACTTAGCCGAGATGACACGAACCCAAAGTGAATCCGTTTAGTTAATAAGCCCCAGCCAACCTTCATCAAGAGAGCATCATTCATGAGGTAGAGGTCCCGGAGGCCCAACCCGCCATCATTTTTATGCTTGCAAACATCGCTCCAGGCCACTAAGTGTATCTTTCGCCGATCATTTGTACCCCCCCCCACCCCAAATGAATGCTCTGTATTTCTTCTCAAGGCCATCCGTGGTTATCTTTGGTAGCATGGACGTTTGCATCAAGAAGAGAAGAAGCGAGCCCAATGTCGATTGCGTCAGGGTCACTCGCCCAGCCAACGAAAGAGACTTCATGCGCCATCCGGCCAATCGAGAGTTCGTTCTGTCCAAAATATGAGAGTAAGTGTCTTTAGTCACCCGTTCATGGAGGAGCGACACACCAAGATCCTTCCCCAAATTATCTGTTAGCTTGAAACTGAGAGTCGTCGAAAGCCGAAGCCGTTCGTGCACCGGCACATTATGGAAAAAGAAAATCTATGTTTTTTCTGGGCTAACTCTAAGTCCTGACCGAGAACAAAAAGCATCGAGTACCTGCCTCAGAGTAATCATCTGGTCATCCGAAGCGTCCAAAAAGAGAAGCAGATAATCAGCAAACATCAAAAGCGGCACGGTTACAGCATTTCGGCCGACAAATATAGGGCGCCACGATGAAGCCTTCATCGACTGCATATACTCTGAGCCAGTCGTTCCATGCAGAGGACAAATAAGTAGGGGGAGATGGGGTCTCCCTGTCTGACTCCTCTAGAGGGCTGAAACTCCTCGCCAATCATCCCATTCCATAGTAGATTCATCGAGGCGAAGGTGAGGCAGACCACAATTGCTCGAACAAGCTTCTCGGGATAGCCCGCGAGACGGAGGGTTTCTTCGATATAATCCCATCTTAAATAGTCATAAGCCTTTTCAAGGTCCACCTTAATGACCATGAAGCCCGTCGGCCCTCGTTTCCCACACATCGAGTGAATTAATTCTTGTGCGGTAATGATGTTATCCGTGATTTGACGTCCCGGGACAAAGCTAGCCTGTGTCGGGTGAATTAAAGCGGGTAAAGTGCACTTCAACCTGTTCTCCAACACCTTGGTGAAAAACTTATAAATCAAGTTCAACAGACTAATTGGGCGGAATTGTCGGATGGTGCGAGGATTGTCGACCTTAGGAATCAACACCAACAATGAATGAATATTGAATAATATAATAGTAATTTTATATACAAATATTAATTTATCTTTTCTTATATAAATTTATTTTATCTTAAATTTTAACTTATATAATAGTTTAATATATGATTTATAAGATTATTTCACCCCTTATAAAATAATTATCATTTCCGAGTTCTTGTTTAGAATAAGAACAGTGAAATTTAACATGTTCAAACATTATCCACAAACAATACTCACAAAAATATTGGTCTTACTAAAAATTTATAGAACAATTTTATAAATTAATTCATATGAATAAGATGTGTAGAAAATAGTACGGTATATTTTAAACTTTAATAGACTATAAATTATAAAAGGGAGCAAAATGTTGATTTTTTGCAGCTTAACTACTCTTTTTTTTTTTGGTACAACGAAGGAGGCCAGAGGCCTAAGCTAATACTCTACGAGGGTAAGACACCCCACGAACGTCATGATCAAGCCAGACACCTAGCCTTGCGGGGGTTAAGGGAGCCGATGTAAGCCCAGAGTGGCGGCAGCCGCGAGACCCGCCAAGTGATCCGCCGAATAGTTCGCCTCACGATGCACATGTATGATTCGAACGTGCCAGTCCCTTTTTATCAATTTCCTAATAGCGCGGACTAAGGCATCATGGACCCCGAAATTCTGCCCCGGTCCATTGACCATTTGGACCACCGCTTGACTATCACTTTCGGCTATAATCTTCCGGAATCCACGGTCCCATGCCAACTGTAGGCCTTGAAAAATACCCCAAATCTCGGCTCCCGTGATGGTGTTGAAGCCAATATTCATAGTGAACCCCTCTATCCACTTACCTAGCTCATCTCGAATTAAACCGCCCGCCCCACTCAGGCCTGTCATGCTATCAAAGGTTCCGTCGGTATTAACCTTAATCCATCCCGGATCGGGTGGTTTCCAGTGTATCATCCGAACCACATAGTTGTCCGCCCCGACCCGTCTGTAGGCTTCACAGGCTCGATCATACTTTTCCACGTTTCCCAACACCTCAAGCCGCTTATTCTCGCATGCCAAGGATCTCGAGTTGAAGATTCGGTCGTTCCTCCATTTCCACGAGCTCCATACAGTAAAAGCGAAGAGGCAGCTCCAATCTTTGTACTGACTAATTTGCACAGCCGATAGGTTACAAAGCAGCCAGCCCTGAAGAGATTGTTCGAAGAAGTCGGCGAGCTCGCCGACTGGAATCAAGAGGGACCACAATCGCTTAGTGTTCGGGCAATCCCGAAATACGTGGAGGGACGATTCCATCGCACCACATTCATCGCACATCGCCGAGGCTGAGATATGACGCCTAGTCCGTTCCATATTAGTCAGTAATCGATCCTTAGCTGCCAACCATAAAAAGGTTCGGACCCTCTGTGGGACTGAAGTACGCCAGACCAGTCTCCAAAGCACGTTGTTCGGGTCGCTCACCGGTGGCTTGAGGGACTGGTACGCCGTTCTTGTTGAAAATTTACTGTCATGTGAAGGGGCCCACAAGAGGCGATCCTCACCGGCCGTGGGTCGAGGCGGGAGAATACCAACAATGCGTAATATAATAGTCGATGGGAGTAGCCCATGGAATTCCGACCAATTCCAGTCTCCGCGCTCATCGACAAACGCTGCAACCGTGGAGTTCATGCTACTTTCAATCGGTTGGCGAGTCGCGTGATGTATAAGCAGGCCAGTCGTAACTAACCAGAGGTCGATCCAAAAATGAACTGTGGCTCCGTTTCCCAAACTCCAGCGAGCTCGTTTAACTATGGCTGGCCACACCTTACCCAAGGCTCGCATTAAGGCCGACCCTCGCTTACATCTGGGCGTGTTCAGGCCTTGCGAAACTGAGATGTTATATTTAGCTGTTAAGAGTCTCGACCATAAGGCTTCGGTATCCATTAATAGACCCCACCCAATTTTCATCAGGAGAGCGTAATTCATGCGTCGCATATCCTTAATGCCTAGGCCGCCTTCATCTTTTGGTTGACACACTTCACGCCAGGCGACCAAGGGGATCTTCCGAGACTCGTTCGTACCA